ATATATATATATATATATATATATATATATATATATATATATATATATATATATATATATATATATATATATATATATTATTAGACTTATAATATTATAATAGCATAAGGGTTGAATTTTAACTTTTAAAACTCTAGGGTTTGGAATTAAAGTTTCATTAGTGAGACTTTACAAATTCCAAAACTTGAGGGAAAGTTTTGAAACTTGTCAAAACTCTTCATTTCTATAACTTATGAGTTAATGTTGGTTTTATGAAAAGACTCTTGATTTTCCATAACTTGAGGACAAGTTATGGAGTTCATTAAATCATTTATGATATGACTTTTCATGTTCCATAACTAAAGGACAAGTTATGGAACTCATTAAAGAATATTTAGATCAATTCTAACAAGGAAAAATATCATATAATTTTTTTAATCATGATCTAAACTAACTCATAAGGAAAAATAGTTTTAAATCAAATGATACAAGTGATTAGATTAACTTATAAACTAACAACTATCATAAGAATTTTGACAACCATCTTTTGATGACTCTTGGAATTCATAACTTATGAGTTTAATGTTATTTTAATGGATGAGACTTTTCATTTTCCATAACTTGAGGACAAGTTATGGAGGTCATTAAAATCATTAAGATCAAAATTTTAACTAACAAAAATTATCAAGTAATTTATCTATGATCTAGTTAAATATATAAGTCAAGATAATTCATATCAACAATTGCAAGAAATTAGCCTAATCATATAAACTAATACAAATCTTGAAATTTTGACAATTATCTTTTTAATTGGATGAGCATGATCACTACCATATCAAGAAAACAGATTATATGTTTCAAAAAACAGTTTGTGGTAATGATCCTAATCCAATTCTGGCCAAAAACTCGAAAATCTGCACCCAGAGCCTTCAACTCGACGAGTGCATGATCCTGACTCGTCGAGTAGGTCTTTTACTGAGTGGACTCGTCGAGTCAGCCAGTGGACTCGGCGAGTTCATCAGTCAGAAACCAAAAAAATCGATTTTTACAACTTTGCAAAGCAATAAACATCAAGTATAACAGAAAACAATCCTAGGCTATGATACCACTTTTGGGTTTTGCGAGCACTATAATACTCCTATGGTGCATATGCAACCCTGGATGCTTTGGATCTATGTTTTCTCTAATTATACATGTATTTTCAGTTTTCCAAAGCATACATCCTAACTAGCATACAAGTTGACAACTGAACAATACAACTAGTTAGATAACTTACCTCTTAGTAGGACTTGTAGTTCTTGGCCTTTGAAAGCTTGAGCACCTCAAGTGTGATGCCTCTAATGTGTCACAAACACCAAATGCAAGAGGAGGCTTGAGAGAATAAGTTACTTAGCACAAAATCAATATCACTCTACTAGAATGAATGGAGTAGTCGATTTTGGCTCTAGGGGTGTGCTTTTATAGTGTGACAAATGCTAGGGTTACACTTTGCAAACCCTAATGACCTTTCATATTACCTAGGCTCCATGGGTTAAACCTCCATGGACTATCCATGGACTATCTCATTGGTTTAGCCTATCCTAAATAACCATGGATCGTTACCCTACACTATAAGAACCATTGATTTACATAATCAATCCCCACATATTTAATTAGTCTCTTTTGATCACAAAATTAATTCCAAATTAATTCTTGATCAATACTAATTAAATAATATGATTTCATATTAATATATTATACTTGTAATATATTAATAAATCATAAATAACCTTATTCACAAAAGTCCATCCTATCAAATTGCAATGATGAAGGCAACCCAAAAGGACCATGCTACCGGGTCAAGTACATCCCAGTTATAGTTATGGGCTTAGACACCAAATCCAACACTTATCGCTACAATCGGGTCCTTGACCCCATAAAACTCCTGAGGCTTCATGTTGTCGAAGTCCCGATACTAGAATGATATCTCCCCTCGAATCCCCGCAACAGAAACAGTCGTGGTAGCTGCAGCAGCAACAGCCTGTGAGAGGGCAGCATAGTGATCATTAAATAGCTCAACCATAGCGGTCATGATATACCCAAACAACTATGGATTAGAACCCCTGACAGAAGTAGCCACCTCAGCGGCAATAATCTCTTGTATCTGGTCGTCAGTCAACCCGGCCAATCCTGGCCACCCACTCCAGATCACGAACCAGATCCTCTCATGAACACCATACTGAAAATGAACCAATAAACATCCGAAATGCCAGAATTCATTCCATCACAACCATCACAGATAGAATAAACCCTCAGGGTTTGTGAATACCTTGCTACGCATACGGGTCTTATGCTTCCAGTAGTATGGGCCATACTACCTCTCACACCTACCCGTATTTGTCTCAATGGATCATCACAAACAACCCAAACAACAAACCCAAAACTAGGATACACATACATCCTATCCTCAACCTCTCGAGAGTGGCTAATCATTCTTTGACTGGCCTGTTACACCCACATACTCACTCATGAAACTTCCACCAACTCTGCAGCCACTCGTGCATGCTAATCATACATAACGATGGATCCTATAGATAGTCAAATACTTGATTCTACCCTAAGCCCTTCATTAGACAAGAACATGAAATAAGGCTAAATCAAACATTCTCAGGCTATAGAATCTTAGTCATGTACAACTATGATGCAGACACTAAGAAACTACAGTAATGATGTCAATTTCATCTAACATACAAGAAGTCCTCCTACGCTATCAGGCATCATACATCAGTCAATTCTATCATGCGATTCCAGAAGATCCCTAGCCTACCACTAGCATGCAGTTCTTTCATAATCATCAATGATAAATAATAGTATGTCTAGCTCGAGGTATACTCTCTGGATTCACACGAACGTTTAACTAATTCTCACAAACCAGGGCTCTGATACCAAATTGTAACATCCCAAAAATCAAGATAAAATTTTCATTTTTAAAATCCAACGTTTACAAAACATTGTTTTCAAAGGTAATAATCACATATCAGAGTGTCCCGAAATAAAATATCATAAATCAGGAGGATGTGCACGATCAAACCTTTGTTTTCCCCTGGTCATCTGAAGTACCTGAAACGTACAACTTAAATTGTAAGCCAAATCTTAGTGAGTTCCTCCAAAATACCACGCAACAGAACATATACAAAACATATATTGGGCCCACAACCTCCTGGTTGGATTACCCCTAGCCTACAAACTTACGGTTAGATTACCCTGGCCCACAATCTTTTGGTTGGATTGACCAATATATATTGGGTCCACAACCTTCGGGTTGGATTACCCCTGACCTATAACCTTCCGGTTGGATTGCACGGGTTTATTGGCTTATAGCACAAAGCAGTATAGCCTCAACCCAACCACACTATGTCGACATATGCAACAGATAAACATATAACCAACAAATAGATAATTATACGGATTACCAATATAACACATACTCAACATAACATAAATCTAGTATACCAGGATACATAATCTAGTGGGTCGGTGTTGGTGCCCTCGACCTACAAGTACTGTGAGGAAAACTCACCTCACAGTCTGACGAAATAGTTGAACAACACGTCGCTCGGAATACCAACTCTACCGATCACCTTTACAACAAACAATGACCAAAGCTCAGTCTACAACTCCAAATACCCCTAGGTCAATGTCAAAGATCGAAAAGTTAATCGATATGCATATCCTTCTCCTTGATCGATATGCAGTGCAGCAAGAACATGGCTTCTTTTATTTTTCTTTTTTGATTTTTTTTGATGGTGTAGTAAACAACAAGGGATGTCAATTATTGAAGTTTATGGAGGTAGGTCAAGAAGACGATGACTGGATGGAGCAATAAAGGTGTTCTTCCATGGGTGGCCAACATCTATGAGGTGATGAACTTGCAAAATCAGGTGTTCTTCCATCTGATAATTAGGGATTTAAAGACCTTAGTGTTTAGAATAACATATTAGCGATTTGGGGCGATGATTTACAATCAGAGGGTTGTTAAGATCATGAGGATCAAGCAGATTCTTAACAAGAGTGGAGATGAATGTGATTGTGAATCGATTGTGTGTGAGTTTACAAAAGATGAATGTGAATCTAAATGTGTGTTTATCTACTGTAGGTTTTTTTATGTTTTTTCCGAGAGAGAGAGAGAGAGAGAGAGAGAGAGAGAGAGAGAGAGAGAGAGCGAGATTATTTTTGTTTTATTTTTAATTCCTGGTAATAAAACAAAATTGAAAAATAAAATAATTGGGGGCAAAATCGTCAATACAAAAAAGTCCAAACCAAATTGGACCAAACTTGCAACAAAACCAAACTATTGGACCATCATTGCAAGCCCAAACGTTTTTCGACCAAAATTGCTAGTTTTGACATACTATAGGGACCATTCTTATAATTTTGTCTAAATGTTATACCAAACATGTTGAATCAGGTTTTTGGACCCACTCGTCCATACTTAAATCAAACACTCCATTAGTTGGATTACTCAATTTCCCATAAATTTGACGATCCCATGTTCACCATACAATAATTTTCTGAATAATAAAATAAAATAGTAAATATATATTAAACTAATTTTTAAGTTTTAAAACTTAAAAGAGAAATATTAATCTGTGTGGATGGCTGTCCATCTTTTTTCATGATCGGCATGCATATATAAATTTATCCTTCAATTTTTATCATTTTTTATATTTTTAAATATATATAAACAAAATTTATCAAACATAAAAAAACCTATGTTTTGTAGTTAATACAGTTTTAAAATGTTAATATAAAATCTTAAAATAACTTTGAACTCATACGAATAAAGTTTTATAAATTAATCTGCTAATTTACTATTTTTTTCCCTTAAAAAATGCACACTTGTCAAACTCCACAAACATCTCATTTTTCAGGAGCATGACCAGGACCAGGACTCCCACCACCACCCTCTAGCCTTCTTCTTCTCTCTATCTCTACCTCTATATGTCTAAATCTATATCTACTCATATTTTCCACCTGCTTCACTTTCACCAAATCAAGAATTCAAAGATAAACACAAAGGAAATGTTTAACACTATCAGATCAGTTTCTGTCCATACCAAACAAGCAGTCGGAAAAGTATCTACGATCATTGGGAGTGTAAGAAGATCTGGCAGTGGCCCTTCCATTAACAACCAGACAACTCCTATCAACGCGGAGAAGATTCAACACTCTCAGGAACCTACTCAGAAAGGGTAATTCTATTTACTCTTATGTATTGTAGTTGAATATGTTTAATGTATCTGAAGCAGAATCTTACTTACATATTGTAAGAAGGGATCATGTGATGTCGAATTCATTCGGAGATGGATACTCAACAAGGTCAGACGAAGAGAGTTTTGGAGGTACCTTTAGCGGTAACCAATCTCTTTCGGGTAGAGAACAGGAAAAAATTGTTAATGCAAATGCTCCAGGTACGTTCTTCTAAAGATATCTTTTTTTTGAAGCTTCAAACCAACGACGCTAACGTAATTAAAGATTTGTTTTGATTAAAGAATATGACAGGAGTCAAGGGAGCGAAACAGGAGAAAAGGAGGGAGGACGAAATCAGCCATAATTCTAATCATCAAGTGCTGAAGATTTTTATTTACTTTTGGCATTTTTATCGTGTTTTATTTTACTAATGTAATGTAATAAATCAGGTAACTTATTTGAGATATATTTAGTCATTATATATCATAAGATTTTTACGAGATTGATTACACACACAACAGCAAAAGAGAGGGATGTGGAACCAATAGATGTCAACATGCCTCCAATAGTCCAATGAGGAACGAAGGCAGAACGACTGTGCCAAATGTGTAATGTTGGTGATTTTAGTATGACCGGTTCATTTTAGCATATGAAATTTATAATATTATCAGTACAGTTAAATTCTTAATTTTAAACAAGTCAGAAGATGCAGAGTATACACTTGTATAAGTTTGCTCTCGAATCTCGATCGACCATAATGACACAAATAATGAGTATGTAAACTCATTGATGATGGGTGTTTAAATTCATTAATAATAAGTTATTGTAACGTTTGAAACCGCATTGAGTATTCAAACTCATTGATGATAATTTATTAGCCTAAGCATGAGTTCAAAACCTTGCGGCTAAAGAATAGTTTCATAAAATGTCTTTTGGCAGTTAATAAATGATTGCTTACTTAAAGAATTTGAAATCCCGTAAATTTCTAGTATGTGATTTTATATTAGTGTTTTGATCTCTAATTGTTTCTTGACGGATTATCCCCATAATCTTGATTTCATGATACCCAAACACAGTGGCGGAGCTACATGGGTTAATGGGGGTACTGCATCCCCAAAAAATTTGTTATATATATATATATATATATATATATATATATATATATATATATATATATATATATATATATATAATTATTCGTAAACAAGTTTTATGTTATTGCACTCCCAACTAAAGGATTTGTACCATCTTTTTAATGTCTGGGATAGAATAACTACATAAAATATATATTTTCCTGTTGCTAAAGCAAATATAGAGAGAGAATAAGTTGCGGAATATCATGGATGATCAAGTTTGAAACGGTTGTTTAGTCATTTTTATTGAGAAAGATGTGTTTCTACAAGTTCTTGATGACATCATTGATCAATTTCAAGACATGACGACTAGAAGGATTCAATTGTAACTTTTGCTTATATATATTTCAATTTACGACTTTAAATATTAAGAAACACTTTGCATTTACTATTTTGAATCTTGGAAATTTTTGTACACCCATATAAAAGTTCTTGGCTCTACCACTGCCCAAACATATGGTCGAAATATCAAATTCGAAAAGTGTTATATATGATCCTTCAAGAAATCCAATTGATTAGTGATTACATAAATCACCCTATATTCCTCCCTAACCCCAACAATCGAATGTGATATTTTTTATGTTTCTGAAATCATGAGTGAATCTATGAGAGAGATGGCTTCCAAGTTCGACAAGTTGGAGAAGTTCTAAGGAAATGAATTCCATCGTTAGCAGAAGAGGATGCACTTTCTTCTTACATGTTGAAGGTTGTGTACGTGCTGAGTACACTAATGCTTGAAGTCATGGAAAAAGAGACTCTGGAACAAACAAGGAGGATAAGAAAATCAGAGAATGATGACTACATCTGCAGATGCCACATTCGCAATGGTATGGTTGATCCTCTCTTTGATATTTACCAAAACATGGATAGTACGAAAGAATTGTAGGATTCCCTTGAATCTAAGTATCTCGCTAAAGATGTTTCTAGTAAGAAGTTTCTGGTTAGCAATTTTAGTAATTATAAAATGGTAGACTCAAAGTCCGTTATGGAAAAATACAGTGAGCTTGTTCATATTCTTGGTCACTTCACTACACACAAGATGAAAATGGATGAATGTGTTAATGTAGTAGGTGTGGCTGACAAGTTACCACCGTCTCGGAAGGACTTTAAACATACCCTAAAACATCAAAAAAAAAGTTGTCATTAGTACAACTTAGGAGTTACATACGGATTGAATAATCCATCTTTGTTCAAAATTGTGACAAAGATAAAGGGAAATACGATGTTGGATAACATGATATCCCCATGGTCGAACTATGATGGCCATGAAAAACCAAACAAGAAACCTAAGGACCTGGTGAATCTCAATAAGAATGATTCTAGAAATAGTAGTGGTGGTGGAAACAATGGGTCTATGGACTTGGTTGCAACAAAAGGAGGTCAAAATTATTCTAACCTTAATAGTTTTATTTAGAATTATTGTTTATTAATTCCTGAATCATTTTATGATTGTACATGGTGGTTTGAATCAGGTGAAACAAGTTATTTTTGCAAAGATCATCGATGATTCAAGAAATTGACACCAATAGATGATGGATCCACGGTTAAGATGTGTGATGAATCGAGCCAACCAGTTTGTGGTGTTGGTGATGTTACTATTTGTGAATGTTTTGAGAATATCACCCTTAATTGATGACAGAATATCATTAAAAATATATAAAAGAGGGATTACAACATTATGTGTACATGGCCCTAAACTTAGAAAATAAATATACAAAATAAAGTACAAGGTAATGGGCTAATATCCCCCCTCAAGTGAAGTATTGGGTTTTGACGAACTCAGAGCTTGGACCGAACGAATAGGAGCAATAGATGAGCAAGGCCTTTGGTGAAGATGTTGGCAAGTTGCAGATGTCGGAAACCTGCATGTGAGAGGGAACAAATTGGACCTTGAGTTTTCCACAAGCAACTTGTTCACGCACAAAATGGTAGTCGATATCAATGAGTTTTGCACGTTTGTGAGCCACCTGATTTTGGAACAGAAATAGTGTGCTTTTGTTGTCACAAAGAAACAAAGGAGAAATAGGTAACTTAACATGTAAATCTCTTAAAAGATGAACAACCCAAGTTAGCTCAGAGGCGGTATTTACAAGCGCCCGATATTCAGATTCGCAGCTGGAACAGGAGACGGTGGGTTGTTTCTTCGCACTCCAAGAAATGAAATTGTTTCTTGTAAAGTTCGCATAACCATATGTGGAACATTGAATCTCTAGGAAACGAGCCCAGTCAGCATCAGAGTAGCCTTGAACTATTCGGTAGTCAACGGATCAGGAAAAGTTAAGGCCACAATGGATCGTACCCCTAACATATCGAAGAATGTGTTTAATAGCCAAGAAGTGGGCATCAGTAGGTGCTTGGAGAAATTGACTAACAGAGTTCACTGCAAAATAAAGGTCAGGGCGAGTAATAGTGAGGTATTATAATGCTCTAACGAGTGGTCGACAGATAGTAGGATCACGAAATGGACGACCTTGGGCACTGTGGTCTGTGAAGTTGAGCATCGGCTGCCCGCGGGGCGGCAACATGTTTAGATGTAAGCATTTGAGCATGATCAAGAATGTCCTTGGCATATTTAGCATGTCCACAGAATAAACCGTTTCTGGTGTGTGTTACTTCCAAACACAAAAAATAAATCAGGTGCCCTAATTCTTTATTGGAGAACTCCTTATCCGTCCGTTTAATGAAATTGCGTAGGAATGTAGAGTCATTACGGTGAGAATAATATCATCAACATAGAGTAGAAAATATATAAGAGTAGTGCCATGGAAGTACACAAATAGGGAACTATCTACTTGACTATAGTGAAAACCAATTCGTGTAAGGTAGTCGCTGAACCGAGTACACCAGGCACGGGGTGCTTCCTTGATTTTGTATAAATCCATTTTAAGACAACATACATAATCAAGAAACTGTGAGTCAATGTAACCTGGAGGCTGCTCCATGTAGACCGGTTGATCCAAAAACCCATTTAAAAATTCATTTTTAACGTCAAGCTGGTGGAGAGGCCAGTTGCGTTGAACTGCTAAAGTGAGAATAGTTCTAACCGTAGCAGCTTTAACAACAGGACTGAAAGTATGAGTATAATCAAGACCAGGAAACTGAGATAATCCTTGAGCTACTAAGAGAGCTTTTAAACAATCATTAGTGCCATCAGATAAATATTTTTTACGGTATACCCACTTAGAGCCAACAATGTTTACTCCGACCGGTCGAGGTACAAGCTGCCAGGTTTGGTTAGCTCTCAAATCACTTAATTCTTTATCCATAGCTTCAACCCAACTTGGGTGTTTTAAAGCATATTTAATGCCTTTGGGTTCAGACTGGTCTTACAAGGCAGCAAGAAGACCATGAGGTTCATAATCAGGAAATTGTCTTGGCTTAGAAATACCAGTTTTGGACCTGGTCCGCATTTGATGGCGAGACGCATCATGGTTAGGCTGATTTGTCGCATTTTCATGGTTAGAAGAAGAAGGAACCATTGTAGATATGACTGGCGTGGAAGCGGAATATCAGCATCTGAGTGGACCGGCTCATCAGAATGAGTGTAAATCTGACATGGACCAGATAAGTGAGGTGTAGTCGAGACTGGAGATGGTTCGGTTGGAATGGTAACCGGAAAACTATCTTCTAGCGGGTCTTGAAAAATAGAAACATCCAAAGCATTAGGATTAGTAGAGCCATTTAAACCAGAAGCATACGGGAAGAGATTCTCATCAAATTAAGAATGACGAGAAACATAAGTGCGCCCTATTTGAGTGTCTAAATGGCGAAAACCTTTGTGATGAAAGCTATAACCCAAAACGATGCAAGGTATACTATGTGGCAAGAATTTTTTTGGCACAGTGGCTCGTAAACATGGATAAACACGGCAGCCAAATGGATGAAAAACCGAGTAATCAGGAGTAGAGTTAAATAACAACTCAAATGGAGACTTTCCTCCAAGTATAGAGGAATGTAACCGGCTTATGGTAAAAAAAACCATCTTTAAATTCCTTAACCCAGTAAGTAAGTGGAACAGAACCATGAAATGCCAAGGCCAACTATGATATGTCGATGTTTGCGCTCAGCTTTACCATTCTGAGCAGAGCTGTAAGGACACGACATCTGATGATGAATACCATATTTCACTAAATGTTCCTGTAATGATTTAGAGGTAAACTTGGTTCCACCATCTGTTTGAAAACCCATGATTTTAACCAAAAATTGATTTTCAACAAGTGCTTTAAATCGTTGAAATGTATCAAAAGATTCTAATTTTTGGCACATAGGATAAAACCACATGAAGTGGGAGTAATCAATAACAAAAATGACATAATAATGATAACCATGTTTACACGAAATAGGTGTAGCACCCCATAAGTCACAATAAACTAAATCCAATACACGAAAAGAAAGTTTATCATTATTCCAAAAAGGCAACCGCTTACTCTTGGCCAATTGGCTAGACTGAAAACGAGTTAGTTTGGACAAGTGAGAAGTAACAAACACAAGTCCTATTTTATTAAGCAAAGTAAAAATATCATAACCAACATGACCCAAACGGGCATGCCAAAGTTTAAAAGAAGCACAAAGACGTCGGTTTTGAAGATCACTGTAGAATATATAGACCAAGTTCACATCAGCCTCTTCCCACGATCATCCTTGTTTTCTTGTGATAAATAAAAAA